GAAGATCATCAGAGAGTTTTGATAATATGCCCATTGGATAGGCCGTAGCGGGCTATTTCTGCAAGTATTTTGTTGGAGTTTCATATTTCAATAAATCCTGAAAGATTTTCTGGAGATCTATCCGAGAACCTTCGATGACCTCTGAAGATCTCGCGAATATACCCACTGGATGCACCATAGTTGATTACCTATGAATCCACTTTTTCTGCGCATAATCTTTCGCGCTTTATAGCAAACTACAAGGTCATTGTTATAAAATTCGAAGGAACAAGGTCTCTTAGTTGGTCTAAATAAAAAAGACAGAGCAACTTTTTTTTAATTTCTCATCGTAACTTTGGACTACTACAATAGTAATATATGAAGCTAAATTTTGAAAGAAATTCATGCTGTATATCAAAAGTTATAAGTAGTCCCACTGAGAAGTGTAAACGAGTCATACTTGTTTCGGTAGTAGATAATTAAAATGCGGCTACGAGTGCATCGGCAAATCTAGTAGATTTTCGTTGGCTACGCGTTGAGGAGAAAACTGTTTGGAATGAATGAACGACATCTCTGGTGCTTGTAATGGAAGATATCTTATAACAGGACGGACATCGGTTGTTGTGCTTTCAGTTCTTGGCGTTGCAGATGATGAAATAACACGTACTTTTAATGTTAAGTCGTCAGATTCAGATAATTTTATTTCTTGCTATTTATCTTCTACAGCAGCTAAACGTTTTCGAATTTCAGTTAAACTCGTTGTTGCTTCTTCTTCTTCTTCCTCAACGATGCTAACCCGATTGTTTGTGGCAAATAAGTTTTTAATAATCAAATATTTGAATAAGGGTACTAAAATTAATTTAAAAACTAAGAAAATCAGACCAAAGATTTCAGTACAAACAGTTGTAAATAGTAAATTATGAAATATAATCTCTGATTGACGTGCAATAGGTTCTTGTATTTGCTTTATATAATACTGTGAATTACTGAGTTGAATTGTTAAAATTGTTTTTGCAGAAGTATGTAAATTATTATAATTCTCTTCCGTATAAAAGAATTGATCCGGATCATAAACGAACGATGGTATGCATTGACCACTATACTTTTCTTCTTCATTATCACATGATATTGACTGTGTAATATTAATGACTTTAATTAACTGTATTTCAATTGATAGCAATTGAGTTAAAGTTCGATTATTGACAGAAAATGTTTCATAAAACTCTAGTTCCTGTACATTATACTTTTTATCCGTTTCGAACTTTGACCGGTTAAATCTAAGAGTAAACCGCCTGCAGTTGCAGTACTATATAAGTGAAACGCAACTGTTGTTAGTAGTATTGTCAGTCTCAACAGACATTAAAGATTTATTATTTGAAGTGTTGCACGCAAAGGCAAGTGAGGATTGGACAAAAGCACTTGTTTGCAGAATAGTAAGATCATCACATTGGAATAGACTATTAACAAACGTAACGTGAAGTGTAAACAGTTGATGACAAACATCCAGTGTAGCGGTTGCGAAGAGGAACTATCATAGTTGCAGCCAACAGTTGAAGTGATGTGCTAAATTTTAAGTGATGTGCTCATTTTAATTAAAATGAAGTATCACAAGCAAATGTAGAATTACTTGACTTTTCAATCGGATACTGATGAAGGTACGATCTACTGAACATATAGGCAGATATAACTACAATAAAGATAGCAAATGAGACCATCCAAAGTTCACCTTCGCCAATAAGATCAGTTAGACGAAAGATCTTTTTTAACACGTGTCGTAATCGTTTAAATTTAACTGAAAATTTCAATGTACCCATTAGTACAATAATTAATATTGTTACGGCAAATATAACTAACGACCAGAATAATGGTGAGATAAGAAGACAACGTTGTTGCGAAAAATCCATACTAAACATATTTAATACTAAAATATCATCAAAAATAGTACTGTCCGGTGATTCGGGTACGATCGAACTTGACTAAGACGAGTCATTACCGATTGATTAACATCACCTACTGATCCAAGAGGACAAAATTAAGTACTGATGGTGCATGGCTTATATTCAGTAACATTAAAATCAGCATTATATGTGCTTTCCGGACGAAGACTACATATGGCTGGACCAGTGTCTGCTTTATATGTTCCAGGAAAACAGCCACTGTGATCTGAAAAATAGATCTAATTAGACCCATAGCCTGACGCGGTAACTGTAAAATATCCTGATGAACTCATCAAGATAACAAAGACATTTCCTGTACTTTCCAGAAAATAATAGCAACTCATGTTACTAGAACAGCTAGAAATTCAGAGCTGAGAGGCGGTGCCCAAACCGGTTGTTCTGCATTTGGGAAAATATACACCGGAGTTGATGATGAATCGTTAAAGCTGCTGGTATCATCTTAAATTTGAATGGCTGACGAGTACCATGTCTGATAGTTAAACGAATAATTGTTCGCAAAAACTACAATGGAACCATCATTACTGTAGGCGACACTTTTACCAAATCCAGCGTACACGCCCGACGCCGTACAACTATCAATGTAATTTAAACTACTCAATACTACAGAATCAACTGATAGGCGGACAATTGTATTGAAGGCTTGTATGCCAATTAGAACTTCGTTAGTGTCACGGCTAATTTCAACTGACACAGAGTACAATGGTTGATAATAGTAATTATTAGACTGAGATGTATCTAGTAATGACATACTATACTGAAATGTTAATGGCATTAAGTTATAATACCATGCTGGCCAGGATGTCGATTGAAGCATACAGTTCTGGTCGATGACATTCAAACTACAGTTCCTTACATCTATTAAGTAAGCATTTGGTATGTAGTGGCCTAAGGAAGGCGGATCAAAATATCCAACGAGAATAAGGTAGTTATCTGTAGATGAAACTGCATATGGTAAAAATTCGTAGTAAACGCTATAATTACTATAAGACCCCGGATGCCAGTCTACTTCCTCCTGATTTTGTAAATTGTATACTACAATTGAACTGACGGAGACTGCGTAGGCCATTATACCATTCGGATCAGCTGTTAAAACATAATGTTCATCTGCAGTGTAAGGCTGGTTAATAGTAGCGTAATTCAGTGTAGAAACACATGCAGTATTGATGTCAGTAAAATTAACCATACCGATGAATGCTATCTGAGTAACCGTATTATAACCAATGAAAGCAAAGTACTGTTGCTCACTTGTTTGACTCGAGCCAATACTTACACTAAAAATATAATTATTCGTATCAATTGTCACGCCACACTGTGACAATGACAATATATTATAAGATTGAATAACAAATACATTGTTATTGTTTTGTGCTTCGATAATGAAAAATTCATTTGAAGTTAGTTTAACACCCCAGTCAGTATCATAGTCACTAAGAGTTGGTGGTTGAGCATTTAAAAAGAAGGGAAACACAGTGATTATTGTGATAATAATAATTATAACATAGTAACCCGAAGGATGAGGAGGACGTGGTGGCATGGTATCTAATCCAAGCTCGTTCGCTGTTAAGTTTAACGCGTTACACTGTTAACATTAGAAAATTTTGTGCGTGCTCCGCGCTGAACCAAATTCGATAAAAACTGAGCGCCATATGCAAAATTTGTCGGTGAGTCCGACAGCGGGTGCAATTTTTATCGAATTTGGTTCGGCGAGGAGCAAGCACCAAATTTTCTAATGACTCTCTTTCCTTTTTTGTGTAATAAGTGAAATGAAGTGTTCTCTTTTAAATATAATGAGAAAAAGACTTTAGAGTGATGTGCTTCTTATACGTAAAAGCAATTAATTTATTTCTGTTAGTAATGAAAAGTAAATAACTAAAAAATACACTGTGCATTAGTTTTACTTATATGTATGTGTTTGATCTTTTATGTGTGTGAAATAATGAACAAACATTTTATATTGTAAACATTTACAAAAAGGAATAACAGTTCATTGAAAAACTAACTACCACGCTCACTCTGTATGCGTTGGTTTCAAGTAAATATAGTCTAGATGTTTATATAAATTTACATAGTCTTCAAATAATAATTTTTCTTGATTGTTTACGTTAAGGGAAGGACAATTAATCTGTAAACATCGAGTCAATTATACATTAAAAAATAGGCAAAATAGAGGCAGTCTCTGAATCAAAATTCTTTTTAAACTGCTGTCTATATTAGACCTTCCCAAGTTCAGGTTTCGTTCAGAACTGATGAACTGTTCCAAACGCTATATTCACCGAACTGAACTGGTCGAACAGTTCTTCTGAACGAACTGAAAGTCGTCGTTCAGCTGCTGCACTGACATAGTCACACAGTCACTACACGGTATCGTACTAATGCAAATATTTTTCAAAGAAACTTCTTAGGTGCTTTTAAAAAAATCACTAAAAATGATGTCGTTTCGGATAGAAAGAAAAGCTCGTATTTGATGACATTGTGATCTGGCTTAAGAGTTTTGTAATAACACCAACAAACATTTCATATATTCACAAAAACTTTCATAATATTAAATTTCATTTATTTGTGAATTCAAATAAATAAAAGACTTAAATAGGTTAGATAATGTTTTCGGCATCTTTATAGTTCTGTGATCATCCTCAAAAAGTCCTTTAACCTTATCCAGTGAATAAGGTTAAAGGACTCCTAGATATACTGTATGGATAGGCATTGACAGATCCTGGTTGTCCCTATGAATAGACCTTGGGAAGTTTTAACTACGTCCTATGGATAGATCTTGATATATTAGGCCAAATTACAGATCTTCCAAAGTCGACGTTCAGTTCGCTCAAAAGAACTGTTCGACCAGCACAGCTCGCTCAAAAGAACTGTTCGACCAGCTCAGCTCGCTCAAAAGAACTGTTCGACCAGCTCAGCTCGCTCAAAAGAACTGTTCGACCAGCTCAGCTCGCTCAAAAGAACTTTTGAACAGTTCTTTCGCTCATTTGAACGGAGTTCGTGAACGTGAGCTGGTGAACCCCTAGTCTATATTGCTTCCTGTACCAAAAAATGAAACTCACAGGAAGCTTTCAAATCATATATCATTCGACTCAGTTTTTGACGCTGACTCTGAATATGATACTTTTATTGCATAAAAAGCGAGTTCTAGTGGAGAAAATTGAGAATTCCGGTTTTTTCGCTCCTGATTTAGCAAAAGTGGAATTTCTCAGCAATGGAGAAAATGAGTTATACTTTTGTAGTTCGAATAAAGATCGCTCGAATGGCGCAAGAATGAACGTTCTATCTTTTACCAAAAAAACTAGATAGCTTTTTCCGATGATGTCTCCGCTTTGAAGATATTCTTGAAGAAGAATTTTTCGTGCAATGACATTACATATGGGAAGCATAAAAGGCGCATTTTCTAATTCGATTTTCAACGCTGAATTAGAAAACAGGTGTTTGAGAGTTTCAGAATGAAAAGGAGAAAAAGTGTTCAACTTTTTTCGAAACAACGGGAAAGTTTTTCGGTTTTTAAGACCCTTCCCGTATTTTCAATTTTTCGACGCGCAAACGTGCACTGGGAAGGCGATATTGGTGATCAGCTTCAAATTCTCTATCGAATCATATATAAAGAAGCTAAAAATAAAATAGAACTTGATTTTTGAATTGCGCGCACGTTACCTACTGTGCAAATGGGAACAAAAACCTGAGACATTGATTGAGCAACTTCGGTAGTCTCTAACGTGCAATGGGTCCTAAACGGTTTTTTAGAAAACTCGGATCCTCACAGTCCTTCATCTCAGAATCATTGCATGGCCAAACCTTTTTTCTTTGCAGATATAATATTTGCAATACTCTTTTATCTGAATTCTTCGAATTGATGGGCAAAAATTGGAAGGTAGCTAATAAAGTTTTAACAGCGGCTAAACGATTTATTTTACGTACACTTTTACTTAGTCGACGTTTCCAGCGTTCATGCTTATTTTCAAGACAAATAAACACAATAAAGTTGCAAAGTTGAGGCTAGATACAGTGTCACAGAATATATAGACAGAAGAACAATGCACAAAATAGACGAATAAGAATACTTGAGCAGATGTCTACTGTTCAAACAAGGAAAGAAACATACAGACCTCCGTCGACACTTCTAAAACGGACGCCACTTCAATACCTACTCCAAAAGAGCAACTAATTAAGAAAGACGTACTTCTCGCTGACATCCCATACACCGTGCGACCAGCAACCGTCCCCGGAACATAAACTGATTAACCTAGCAACACATATTCGGCTACATATACAACTGCCGGTTCCTCACTGCCGCCAAACACTCAATCTCTCGTTCCACAGAAAGACCCGATTCCCAAGCATCTCCAGCTCATCTAGTCTGCAATATCCATTGCGACAGTTGTGATACGTCATACATCGGCAAAATCAACCGGTAAGCTGTACAAAGATTTCGAGAGAATGGAGCGCTACAACAACAATCATCTATCTTCCCATCATCGACAGCCACTACTTTTTGTCAAGAGGGTAAAATATAAGGGGAAGGGATACCCTTAAAGTCTATCCTCTGAAATGATCCGAAAAATGATTGCAGATGCTGATAAATACAGCAGCATAGTTATTAATGACGATCCTTTGCTAGAAGGCTCTCTAAATAATCTAAAGAATATAGATAAATATGAACGTATGGATCAAGAAGATGAAGATGATCATATTAATATGGATGTAGAAAATAAGATTGAATAAATTCTTATTAAATAAAAGCATCTGAAAACAATAGTTCTGGAAACGCAGTAATTAATAGTTACTGAGGGTACTTTGTAATTCATCACAATGGAAATTATTAAACGAACAGTCTATTGCTCTAAATTATAAACATAAACAAACAAAAATGGTTCACCAAAAACCTGTAAGAGTATGCTTAAAATATATTATTTCTTTTTTACTGAAGTAGCAGCAAAAAACTGAATTTTTTTTGTGTTATCACTTTAATTTTCAAAGAATCAGACTGACCTTTCACAAACTATCTCATAACCCTACATTTTGAGAGGGATTTCAAATTTTCTTCTGTATAGGAAACGACATGCCAGTGTCTTCTGTATCAATCAACAAAACTTTCAGATCTTTTTCTCGTTTCGAGAAACGACTTGCACTAAGTTATCAAAAATGCCTGATTATTTCACATATATTTTGACATAATGCAGTATATTTCTCTAGAAAATTTCGTTTTATTTCACGCGTTATAGAATCGATATGAGATACTCTAATGACAAAGTGTAACACTGTTAGTTTTCCTATATTACATCACTGTTTATCCACAAACCAACCAGCTAGCACATGCTTCATGTAAAACAGCATTATCCCACGAACGAAATCGAATTTTTGCTCCATATCGACCAACGTAGTCGGCCGACACATGTATATGTTGATTCTTTCCATTCCTAAACGGCATATACATTCTATGGATAAACAGGTTAAAATTAAAAACAAACATTTTCTTACCAAGCATCATATTTTGTCAACGCAATCATCATTACTTTCGGTGGTAAGATGTAAGGTTGAGGAAATTGAATTTCTTTTATAACATCTCTGTTACAACATAGTCGCTCAAAACCATCTCCAGCTCCACAATAGGGTGTACAAACAGAACCACTCTGGCCTACAAAAAAAAAACATTAAATTTGTATGTTAATCTATCTTTTACAGATAGAACGTACAATTTTGTTCTGTTATACAGTCATGTATTTTTAAGAACATGCACAAAATAAAAATTAATCCATATCCATTCATTATTTTAAAATAGTAACGAGACATCGAGAAGTTCGAAAAATCAAAAAAATGTTCTTTCATACAATGAGAGATTTGTTAGTTCGTAAGAATATATATTTAGATAATCCTTCAAGAACATCAACTAAACCCTTAACAATCAACAATAATTTCGTCACATAAATGGCCTCTTCTTATTCTAGTGTTGGCTCAGCTTTTAAAGCTTTTCACACGTATTAGAAAACATAATTTGTGAATTCAAGGTAAAAAGTTTTAAAAGCTCAGGCAACACTAGAATAGGCAGAGGCCGTTTATGTGATGAAATTATTGGTGATTGTTAAGGGTTTAGTTGATGTTCTTGATGCATTATTTAAATATATTATTACAAATTAAGTAATCTTTTATTGTTTGAAAGAAAATCTTAATGAGAAGAATAAATCAAACTTTAGTAGTAAACTTCATGAGCTTAGGCATTTAGACATGCTATACAAGATGACTATCTCAGAGAGATTTTGACTTTATATTTCTTGATTCTCTAGTAATCGGTTCCTGAGAATCTCTCCAAATTTTTCCTATGGACATCAGTGGATATCGTATACGTAATAGGGAACTCCCATTATAAGGTGCCGACAATTCAAAAGATAAGCAAACATTTTTTTTGATTGTTTTTGATCATTAGATCGAGTTCATCGAGTTATCTAGAAAAAACTGAAACGTGGATTTTTGAAAGTCTTTTTCCATTAAAAAAATTTTAAAATATTGATTTTTTAAAAATGGACAAAATTCAGCTAAATTTTGAAAAAAACTAAAATTTCATGGTTTATTGTCCTTT